ACATATAAAATCAAAGCTACATTTGTAAAGCTTCTAGAAAGCTTCTCCATATGATATTATTTGATTTTTCTACTTTTATCTACTTCTACATAATCATATAGGTAATTATTGGAGTAAATATATTTATCTATGATATTTATTCTTTTATATTAATAATAGAAGCTATTAATTTTATCTTAAGATATTATCAATAATAATCTAAAAGGAATAAAATTACTTATTTTAAATCTTTTTTTAATTAAATATTATATCAAAAATTATAATAATGGCTTTAAAAAGTTTTTATTTTTTAATATAAGATTTTTTTTCAAAATTTGAAGATCCTATTAAAAGTATTTTATAAAATATGATTAATTAAAGAAATATTTATATTAATTCTTGTATATATAGAAAAGACTATCTTAATAAATTAAAGGTCCATAATACTATTCAACACTTTATAGATAATATTTATAAAGATTACACAAAAATTTATTAAATTTTTATAGAATTGATTTATTTAAATCTAAAAATATATTTTTTGAATTTTATTATAACAACATCTAAGTTGAGTAAAAAATAGTCAATTTTTCTAAAGATTTTAATTAAGTCTTATTATTATAACTAGATTTTTTTTAGGATTATAAAAAATTAGTTTGAATCTTCAAATTTTTGCTATAAAAAATATTTATTAGAAAATAATTATTAGATATTATATATATAAAAATATGCATTAATATTAAAGAAATAATTTTTTTTTTATTTCATAGAGAAGCAATAATTAAAGCTATTCTTTTATTTCTAACTTACTTTTTTTATTAGCTTAAGTTGCATATGCAACTATATATGGAAAATTAGCAAGAGAAAGAATTAAAAATATTAATGATTCTAATATCAAAACATAAAAATTTATTTTTTATTATTTTTTATTATTTATTTTTTTATAAAAATAAATTATTTCTAACAAAATCAACATTTTCTAAATGGTGAATTTGTATTTAAATTTAAAATCAATTTAGCTAAGTTATTTTCTTATTGGTCTAAAATCAAAAGTCTTAAAAATTACATAAACAATTGATTTATATAAAATTGAATTTAGAAGAATAAACTCAAAAAATTCCTATAAACTATTTATGGACTAATATTTTTAATAAAAGATGTAAATAAATTTATAATACATCATATCAAAAGTCAATTTTTTATTAGAGCTTTTAATACATAATATCAAAAGCCAATTTTTTTATTGTTGACTGTATATGACTTGGGCCATATTTATAAATCAAAATAGCATTCTAAGTCTAAAAATTAGAATCAAATAATAAAATTTTAATCTAAATTAGTACCTTACTTAAAACTTTCAGATCCTTACATCTTACTACAATACATAGAATATGGCAATATGGTAGAATCTAGAACATTCTATAATTATATTTATATCTTAATTATTAAAGCAACACTATTACATAAGACTATAATTTTTTTTAAAAAATATAGAAGTTAATTATTTTATAACAAAAATAGATGCTATCACAAAATATGACCTATTTTCTGAAGATGAAGGATTTTAGAAATATTTTGATCTTCATATCCAAGTGATTGAATAAATAATTTATGTGTTACATTAGTACTTTATTAAGACAATAAAAAGAAAAGAAAAGATCAAGTTATATAATTTAATAAAATACCTTCTATTATATATACATATATATATATATATATATACATATAACTTATTTACTTCTTATTAAGTATTTAAGAAAATATAATATTTTCTATATTTAATGAATTTCATATTAATATTTTTAAAATTAGACCTTAAGCTTAGGATATTTTTAAAAACAAAGAATCATCAGATGTACTACAATTTGAATAAACATGTAAAACTTTTAAAAAGTAAAAGAAATGTATATTTTAAATTGGAAAAAAAAAAAAAAAAAAAACTAAAGGACAAGACAGCCTTGTTAGACTCTTGTTTAGTTTAAATAGAGTAGAATACTAGATCAAACTTTTATCTTTAATTAAAAGGATACATAATTTAAGATAAAAACATTTAAAGAGTCAATATCAATATGCTTTTTTGATATAATTTAATGGTGGTGAACCCATGGAGAATAAAGATCAATATTATTTTATTTGAATATTGTCTTTTATACTTACTATAAACAATAAAATCAATCTTGCATAGGTTGTAGAAATATCCCCAACCTTGGTTTTCTTAAAAGTTGATCCTATATTCAGTGTTCTGTACAACACTCAAACACAAACTAAGAAAACTCTAGTAAACAAACAGACAGATAGACCGACAGACAGACATGGCAAGAAGAGAAGACAACTCCTCCTCCAGGTACTCCTCCGCCGCATTCATTGCGGTGAAGGTGGGGATCTGTGTGTGTGTGTGTAGCTGTCTGTTCCCATTAACGCCACCCTCGCAGTGACCAACCACAGTCTCTTCTGCATTCCTGTGCAGTGCAGTGCAGGGCAGTTCTACACTGGAGCAGCACCCACATCTGGAACCCACACAGCCTCGGTGCGGTGGTGTTTCTCTTTCTCTGTTTGCCCCTCTTTCCCTCTCTCAGAGACCCGATCGATACAAGATCTTCCACCCAGTGTGGGGGAGATTGCATCGAGCTGGGGCACTGTGCAGATGAATCCCTGTGACAGTTCCCTCACACGGTGTTGCCCCAGTATTGGAATGCGAGAATTTAACCGCTTCGAAGTAGGTGTGCGGTTACCTGTTGTCTTTGTCCGAGCCTGGGATTTGGGTCCTTGTGGGTCAAGAGCAAAAGTCGTGGATTGACTGTGGTGGGGTGGGGGGAGTGGGGTTTAATACTAAATCACTGGTGTGAATGTATTGGCCACCGGAACTTGAACCCGACATGTGTAGTTTAATCTTTTTTTCATTTCTCGTAATCGGTGCGTTTAGAAGTGATTTTCCATGGTTCTGAGTTTAGCTGTTCCCACGCATGACTAGCGGAAATGTCTAAGTTGCCAGGTATGTGAAATTTTGCATTTGAACTTGAATCCGAAAGGAAGCTTTCCATAATTTGCTACGGAAAAAATTGTTGAGTCGATTTTTAAGTCTTTTATATTCCATCCAACAGATTAGAAAATGTAGAATGAGTGTAAATATTGTTTTCATGTAACGTGGAACAGAAAATATTTAGCCATATTTTGATGTGGATGATTATGTAACACGGCTATGGACATGGCAATATACTCTCTCCTACTAACTGAACTTATCCTCTTGGCCATCAAGGTCTTGATATAGTAGCTCAAACATTCATAATCAAGGCTAGCTGTCTTTGATTATATTACAATTTTATAAAACAGTGCCATCTCTGTTGAACATCCTATTTTTTGTTCCATCTGCTCACGTTGTGAACATGCTCAAAATGTATCCAAATATTATTTCACTGTGTTCTTTCTTCGAACTGCATAATTGGGCTCATTGTACCCGAAACTTGCACAGAGGGTTAACTCATTCCGACTCAAAGGACAAGTTTAGAATCAATAGCAAAGCATGTGGAATACTTTTCAGCATCCAGCAGAGAAATCACGTTGAACAGGTTTAAGGAAACCGCAGGACAAGAGTACTTTGAGAGGATCTACAGGTTCACTGCAGCCAGAGAGCTGTCAACCATCTCGTACACATGATCCAAGCGATGGATAGTTTTGTTTTAAAACCCAACTTCGGAGTGAAATACATCACGAGGATTCATCGTTACTGCAAGTTGCCTGACTGCATCATCACTGACTACGGAGGGGTTCGTCATTCCCTCCGCCGCATGTGTAAGACCCTGGCGGAATGGTCAGCAGACTGGAACCCAGTGGTGCTCTAAAAAGGCCTGGAGGGCCGGCACTACGCCGAAGAGGATGGCAGAGGGGAGGCCAAAAAACGACCTGGAAAACGGCTAATGTGCCCTTACTGCCAACTGGTGACAATCCTGCGATGCAAGGAAGGGCGATCCCTGTCTAAGTTATGGCAAGTCCGTTGAGGTCGGCCCAGACAGTCAGACAGACCACCAGGGATCTCGTTCAGGCCGCTAGCCCTCAATTTTAGCCAGATCTATTCCAAATTTAAGATGACCAAGACGCGAATCCATCGTTGTTTTGATTGAATGATTTGAGGAACATTACTGGGCGAGCAGGGAGTGAGCGATCCCAACTGGTGGGTTGATTGGTTTCCACCAAAGGCGGTCCGGTTTCGAGTAATTAAGGCTTTGCTGGAGCTGGGTATTGGATAGCCGTAATGTATGGCAGTGGTACACTGCCATGGAGCTATATTATACCTACTTCACTACGCATTGAATGGTGGGTGATTTGGTTCTTGCTTCCAAACCTCGGTGGTTTGGTGTTTGAATAATCCTACTTAGCTTTGGACTTCTTCAAAGAGCTGTTTAAAAGTGTCAAATCATGTACATGGAAGAGGAAACTGGAACTCTCGAAACATGTGACAGTCCTTGCCCTTTCAGGGTCATACATCGGCGTGGATGTTGATAATCGCGTATGAAAAGAAGAGATTCAGTAGAAGATAGTTTCACATCAGTCGGAAACTTTTGGTCAAAAGCACTCCGCAGAGTTACAACACCTCATTAAACTCCAAAAATATTTATTCAACCCACTCACTCGAGAGTTTCCACCCATTTAATCCCACGGCACAGTAATCCAGAACTCATTAAAGACATGACCCAGACAGGTGGCATTTTACCTCGAGTCGAAAATCGTCCGACCCATCACTGAGGTGTTGAATTCACTTGGGGACATTAACTTTCACCGCTTGCTATTTACAACATGGCATTCAATACCTTTCTGGAAGGGAGGTCTTATAAAGTGCAACAAAAGTCCACTGGATTGCTGGGGGGGGGGGTTAATGTTCCACATGAAGCCGTTGTGTATTCATACATCACGACCACATACGCACTCGAGTGTACAGTATCGACATCACACATATACCTTGGCAGAGCTGGCAGCAGCCTGAGGAACGGCTCCGACGAGCGAGGGAATTCGAATGAGAGGTCACGCATCCCGATCTTCTGCAGCATTAGTAGCACCATCGTCACCTTGTCTGCAAGGATACCATCGCAATCGTGGTCGGAACCCAATTCCGGGTGCCACATCTGAGAGCACTGGTTGACCTGCATTGTCTCGCCATATAAGCCTGCTCTTCGGGTTCTCAATCAATGCGTCTAGCTCAGTTTGTTGTGGTGTGAATTTTTGAAGATTGGTGAACATTTGGGAAAGTGTCATTGAGGTTCTTGAAGTTTTAACGGATATTCGACGTGGGTTTTGTTACGTTGGATTGTGGACATTTGCAGGGTTTTCGCCTTCAAAGGAAATCAGGAAGAGAGTAACGCGAGGGAGAAATTTTGGTGCGAGCGAGAGCATGTGCGTTGGCTGTATTTGGTAGTAGTTGGTGGTCAGGAGAAGATTAGACATGACAGGAGCTCGGAAGCTTGTCGTGGAGGTTATCTCAGCCAAGGATCTTATGCCCAAGGATGGGCACGGGTCGTCGAATGCTTATTGCGTGGTGCGTGCTCTGTTTTTCGGTCTAGTTGGTGCTTGTGAGACATTTACAGGTTTGGAGAAGGGGAATCAAGTGAGAGTGAAAATGTGGATGATTCTGATAGGCTTCATTGGTTGTGTTAGGTCGTTTGCTCTGGAGTTCCGCCACCTTCTTTGTAGGTCAATGTCTCCTTCAGTGTTTGGTGGTAACTGTGATTGATTCTAATAGCAATGAATTATTTGCCTTCCAGCTGGACTACGATGGCCAGCGAAAGCGGACCAAGGTGAAGTCCAAGGATCTAGATCCGACATGGAATGAGAAGGTAAATTCCCTCTCTACTCTAGGATCTCTTAATTATCAGATATATCATGGCAATGCCTTAATGAAACAAGGTATCAAATGATCATGCCCTGCAGCTCTCTGGCATCAGATTGTAATCATTGCTACAGGAGCACCGACTAGGCTTGATCTGTAGCGAAGTCTTCGCCATTCACCAACCACTTTCTACAAGTCGACTCGGTCATGCTTCGGAGCGAAGCTGAAACTAGGGCCTAACCTCCATTGCGTCACCCATTAATTTGAGCTTTGCCTGGCGACGATTGCTAGTGTCTGGACAATTCATTAGGATGCGGAAGGAGAATAGTTTTGAGAATAATGTATGGAATTTTGATGGACTCTCCGAGGTTTGTGGCTCAAACATGTGCAGTTTGAGTTTGCGATTCATGATCCCTCTGCGCCTGGGGTCCTGGAAATAAATGTCCAGAATGAGATGAACAGCGGCACTGGAAGGCGGAGCAGCTTTTTGGGACGAATAGTGGTACCTGTGAGTACTGTGCCTCCCAAGCCAGAGGCTGTGAGATGGTATCCGTTGCAAAAGCGAGGCCTCTTCTCGCACATCAAAGGAGATCTAGGGTCAGATTCGCTGCCACTTCTATCCGTCCTCGCTAGAAAATCTGAAATGTGTATCTAAAATGCAAATTTGCACTCATCCACTGCAATTTGTGTATTTCAAGGATTTACGGAGTGATTTTCTTTCGCGGAGTACCATGATGTCATAGCAACCAGCATGATTTATACCATACTACGTAAGAAAACGGGCATGCATCTTGTCGAAGCACTTGCCTCCTGATCTAACTCTATGTCCTAACCAGTCTCAATTTTGTATGTACACACAGGCTTAAAATTTGGTGGGCACTGGACGAGCCACCAAAGGCCAAGAATGAGAAGAAGGAAGAGAAGAAACTAAAGGAAGAAAAGACCGAGGGAGCCGGGGGGAAGAAGGAGGGTGGGGGTGGAGGGAAAAAGAATCAGAGCAAGGATGATGGAGGCGGAGACCAAGAAAACCAAGGGACTGCGAAGTCCGAAGGTGATGGAGACGCAAAAGAGAATGTCAAAGTCGGTGATGGAGGTGGCGATGAAAAGCCCAAAGGTGGTGGTGGTGAGCAGAATTCCAAGGGAGCTGGAGGAAACGGTGGCAACGCTGGTGGCAAATCCAAAGAGGTCAAGAAAGAGGTGAAGGCAGACAACCAACCGCAGATGCCTAGACCTTCTCTAATAACTGTGCCTGAAACCGACTTCACCGTGAAGGAAACAAATCCAGATTTGGGCAAGGCTGTCGATTACAGACAACATTTCGATTTGGTCGAGCAGATGTCATATCTATTTGTCCGTGTGGTTAGAGCACGAGGTCTGATGGGGAAGGACACCAATGGCTTAAGCGACCCTGTAAGTTGTCCATGCCATATGTCTCTCATTTAGTGCCTCGTTCAATGATCGAAGCACTTCACGATTTGCGATTACGATCTTCCCATTGTAGTGTAGTGAACGGTGGAGGCAATGCATTTCGTGTATGTGGAAGCCGCGATTAATTTTTGGCTGTGTTGATCAGTATGTTCGCATTACGGTAGGACCTGTGAGGACGGAGACGAAGATCATCAAGCACGATCTTAATCCGGTATGGAACCAAGTGTTTGCTGTTGGGAAAGACAAACTCCAAGGTGGAACTCTAGAATTGTCTGTGTGGGATGCGGTGAGTTCACTACGCTAACTCCTACCGTTGGCTCAGCATTGCCTACTTCCAATCTACATTCAGGCGTTGTATTGTTAACATAGTCTAAAGTTCAAGTATTGTTACTGATACAGGACAAGCAATCCAAGGATGATTTCCTCGGTGGATTCATGATTGATCTCTCCGAGGTCCCAGTTCGGAAGCCTCCTGAAAGCCCGCTCGCTCCCCAGTGGTACAGGCTGGAGTCTAAGGTTGGACCTGGAAGAGTTAGAGGTACGTATAAGTCACTGGAATAAGTTAGGTGTATGGTCCATATGATTTTCATTTAAACAAAATAGTTGATGATCTACATGTGAGCAGGACTGGGCTGATGGTTCCGGATGTGTCAAGATTTCAATGAATTCTCACGAGTTATGCTTTCCTTCGTTGGTCCTTTCTAAATTCTTGAGGTCATTGCAGGAGAGATTATGGTTGCAATTTGGTGGGGAACTCAAGCTGATGAGGTCTTCCCTGAAGCTTGGCACTCGGATACTGGCGGCCATGCTATGTTTCGATCCAAAACTTACCTTTCACCAAAGCTTTGGTACTTGCGAGTGAATATTATCGAGGCTCAAGATTTGGTTGCAATGGATAAGGGACGTCTTCCAGAGCCGGTAAACATTTGTTATTTCTTATTGCTCTTATGACCTCCATTGGGTACTTCTCTTTCAAGACTAATTCACAGTAAGTAGGATCGACTTCTGTAATATGCGCAATGTGGACTTGACCGGAGTTCTGAACTACTCTGTATCCGCCTTTTTAATTGTGGAACTCTCAGTTCGTAAGAGCGCAAGTCGGTCCTTACCAAATGTTACGAACAAGGCCTTCAGCAGCAGTAAGGGGTTCCAGTCCCTTCTGGAACGAAGACTTAATGTTTGTTGCTTCAGAGCCTTTTGAGGATTGGCTGAATCTTCTAGTTGAAGACGCTGCGGGCCCTATGGTACTCATCTCTATCCAGGATCCTCTCCATTTTGCAGTTGGTATGTACTATGCATAGCTCTTTAGGTCTCACTTCTGCATGCTTTGCAGGGTGAGATTCTGGGCCTCGCCAGAATACCCCTCAGCACTATCGAGCGTCGAATCGATGGTCGCCCAGTGCCCTCAAGATGGTACATCTTGGAGAGAGAGGGTGGGAAAGGAGGACCCTTTTTAGGTCGCATCCATCTAAGGCTGTGCTTCGATGGTGGTTACCATGTGATGGACGAATCTCCTAACTATATCAGCGACACACGACCAACTGCAAGACAATTGTGGAGGCCTCCCCTTGGTGTTTTGGAGCTTGGTATTCATGGGGCTAACAATCTACTCCCTATGAAGACTACCAAAGATAACAGAGGGACCACAGATGCGTATTGTGTTGCAAAGTACGGACCGAAGTGGGTTCGAACACGTACAATTTTCGATACATTCAATCCGCGATTTAATGAGCAGTACACCTGGGAGGTCTATGATCCTTGCACTGTTATTACCGTGAGTGTCTTCGATAATCGGTAAGTACTACAATAACCAGCTGATATACGCCTATCCCGGCTGTTTTATTCTTAAGCTTCAGTTGCTGCAATGATGAAGTTTGATACTGCCATGGTTTATTATTAAGGTTCTGTTCCTTTTGCTGCAGTCATACGCAACCTACGGGACCTGCACAAGTTAAGGACCTGCCAATTGGAAAGGTCCGAATCAGACTCTCAACTCTTGAGAGTGACCGGGTGTACACAAACGCGTACCCTCTGCTAGTTGTCACACCCCAGGGAGTAAAGAAGATGGGTGACATTGAGCTGGCTGTGCGAATGACCTGTGCATCAACGGCCAATTTGATGCACGCCTACGTTCAGCCTCAGCTACCGCGCATGCACTTCTTTTATCCCATTGAACCAAGGCAACAGGAGCACTTACGAGTGGCAGCCATGAACATCGTGGCGCTGAGGCTCATGAGAGCTGAGCCTCCATTGAGGCAGGAGGTTGTAAGGTTCATGCTCGACACTGAGGCTGAGCGGTGGAGCATGCGTAGAAGTAAAGCGAACTATTTTAGAATTATGGTACGTCTCTTGCGGGATCCATCATCTCTGATCGCTGTTTTACCTGCAGCGAAAGTTCGGTTGTGAAGCGGACACTTGTAGACATCTGACATGGTTCGGTTGCTGTTCAGGGTGTCCTCCATGGCGTGTTAGCCATCATGAACTGGTTTTCCGACATCTGCAGTTGGAAGAGCCCTGTGACCACTGTTCTCGTACACATCCTGTTCCTGATACTCGTTTGGTATCCTGAGCTATTACTGCCTACCATGTTTCTGTATATGTTTTTAATTGGTGCTTGGAATTACCGCTTCCGATCGCGGATCCCTCCCTTCATGGATTCCAAACTCTCGCAAGGAGAGTATATTGGAGATTTGGATGAGTTGGAGGAGGAATTCAACGTAGTACCTGCCAACAGAGCTGCAGAGGTATGTGACTCTGGATTTGTGGTTGATTGATGTTTTAACGGATACCAACGTCCAAGTATTTTTTAACTTTTAGTTGTCATGTTTTCTTGCCATCAATTGGTGTCGTTTTCTGTGCAGGTCCTGAAGCTAAGATACGAGCGGTTGAGGTCTGTTGCCGGTCGCATCCAAAATGCCCTTGGTGACCTTGCCAGTATGGGTGAAAGGCTTCATTCTCTTCTTAGTTGGCGTGATCCTAGGTACATTGATACTCCCCTGTCACGAACGTTGATGATATTGACAACATAACTTCGGCGTATACTGAAACGTCTGTTGTGCGCAAGGCAAGATGTATAGTTTCTAGTGTACGCTCAAACTTCCAGTCCCAAGTTCCCTGACGAGACTTAAAAGAACAGGAGTGGTATTGATTGTGGTTTATTATTTGCAGGGCAACTGCAATGTTCATAACCTTCTGTCTACTCACTGCGATAATACTGTATGTGACTCCGTTTCAAGTGGCGGCTGTGCTGCTGGGCGTTTACGTGTTGCGTCACCCCCGGTTCCGTGATCCTTTGCCTGGACTGCCAATAAACTTCTTCAAAAGGCTTCCATCGCAATCTGACCGTATACTATAGTAGTATAAGCCAATTTCATTCTTTGCAGATGCATCTGGGGAATGTTCACCCTCATGCCTCAGCTGATGAGTTTTGTTCTGTCAGCATTTTTATCGAAATTTTATTTTTAGGAAAGACTTATAGGTCCTGTCTATATTGAGCAGTGGAGGAGAGATGTCAAAAGAGACATGTGAGGTAGGTGTAAATTTAACTTGTGCGATTACAAAATCTTGTTTACCGTCGTATACCATACTTCACATATCGGATAATGATTTCGAGTATACGTACAACTGCTTAGTCTGCAATTCTTGCTCATTCCCTAATGATCTGCTGTTGTGTCCTGCGAATGGTCTCGGTGAAAGTATTGAACAGTTATGGTCCAGTAACTGCGCGAAAATAATACCCGAGTATTGGGGGTGCGACATGCTCTATATAGCACAAGACACAAATATTTAGTTTAGTTCTCCTCACTGATGGATTCTGCCTGAGTAGACGTGGAGAAACACCGAGTGTCTTTTGGGAATCTCAAATGTTCGGGAAGGAGCGCGATGAGCGGCAACTGAAGGCTCTTCAAGTTATATTGTGTCAAATGGCAGGTTTGTAACATTTCTCACACAACATTTCCCAAAGCTGTCGTTTCTTATTACCAACTAGCTCATGATCGGATTATGTCTCGTTTCGATTCTCTGTAGTCCCATGTACGATCATTCGCTGTCGTCAGAATTACAGCAATTCACCCTACAGCGGATGAAAGAATCTTCACTCTCTGCTTGATGTCTTTGGAAAGTCTAGTCGTTTGATTTATGAGAAAGGTAATGCGAACCCTTGTGTATCTGACACTTCTTATTTTCAGTGAACAGGTCAGCGCAGCGGAATTGGTCCAGCCAGCACTTCGTAGGTGCTCGCCACGACAGCCACTGTCCTGTGGTACGTTAGACCGGAAAGAAACTTCTGTGGACACCTCAGACCCATTAGGCATGTACATCCAACAACATACACATCTGGCACCGTCTGCCGATGCACTGCAGACTATGTTCTCTTCCGTGCACAAGCACTGCAAACGTTCCGCTACAGAAGCCCATACACATTTATTGCTCTTTCTGGGATAGATAATCCCCGTTTGCTTCTTCATGAGGATGTGTCCATGTGGTGGTGGCCTTCTTTGGTGTTCTCCACAATCACGACCACGAAAACCTTAGAAGGCAACTCGAAACCCTTCTTTTTAACCTTGAAACTGTAACTAATCTCTCGTCCTCCTTCTCTTTCATCCTTGCAGTATTTCTCATTCTGCAGTCATAGTATTCTGTTTTCCTATCATGAGGGCGATAATCGTGCACACATAGAACAATACCGTAGGCAGCTATTTCTGCAGTAACAGCCGAAGTGTTTAGAGAGTTCTTGCTTTAGCTTGTCTAGAAACTAGGCGCTGATTTTGATACTAGTAGTGTTGACCTGCTTCATATTGTTCACATGTGTGTCCATACTGAAAGGAACTTAATCAACACTCTCCGAAATTCAATGGGATGTACTCATGTCTGGGATGGAGTATTAAGAGCTTAACAAGAGTATTTCTCTATCTAAGTTGACTCTCAAATCTGGAAATGAAGTTGATATTGTTGATGTCAAAGCTGTTGAATTGCATAAATACCTCCAATTGATTTTAATCATTCTAAATAAAGATGATGCTTAGATTACGTTAGAATGAATAAATAATGTTACCAGTTTGACTTGCAAAAGAAAATATAATTAAGATTGTGTTTTGAAGTTTTAGTTTTGTACGATATATACTTAAAATATTTATAGTAAAATTACAAATATGCGACAGATAATACACTTTGGCATTTTGGCATATTACTAAAAATTAATTCACATAACTAAATATTGTAAGTTTTCAGATTGATTTTTATACACAAGAATTTCCACTCTACCTTAGCGAAATGTAAACTTCTTAATAGAATAATTATAGATATCATATCTACAGATAATTATACGATTGTTACGTACCATTAAAGCTTTTTTTGTTATTAAATTGTTTAGATTTGAACTTGTATAACGACACCAGTTTTATTAACGTAGTGTACACATTGGGTTTATCAGACTATAGTACTTAGAATGGATGATTGGTTTGTAACATTTTTAAGAAATTAAATGATTTTTCATATTATTATGTAATAGAATAAAAATTTGATATTAATGACAATGTATAAATCAGTTGATGATATACTTTATTTTAGTATAAAAAAAATTATTTGTTTTTGAAAATGAAAATGATCATTATTCTAACATATTTGAATATATTTTCTATTTGTACATTTTGGAATAATATTTCAATCTGAAAAAATAATTGTAAACACAATGACGAAATTTAAGATGAAAGATTAATACACAGTTTAATCTAACTTGATATAACTTTGGTAAACAAAAGAAGACCACTACAAATTTTATTTAAATCTTATATAATTTTGTTGCAATAAATTAATCTTAAATTGCAAAAAATTCAATGTATCAAAGAGACTAATAACCTTCATCAAAAAATTTAGTTTATTTCTAACTATAAAATTTATAACTTGCATAATAAAATCTAGCATACAAAGGGCTTGAAAAGTGATTTTGATTTTAAATAAAGCCTTTTGCTTAATAGCAAAGGTGACCATTGTAAATAGCTCCAAAATATCAAGCCAGTTTAATTAATAATATTTCTCCAAGTTTCTAAGGATTTAAAATTATATAGGCTTTCTTTGGTAGGTGCACCTGTATTTAATATATATATATATATATATATATATATATATATATATATTAAATTAATTTATTAAATAGTAAATTAAAACAATAGCATACTTATGTATGTAAAAGGTAGCAAATGAGCACCAACTCTTACAATAATGGGGTTGAATTTATATAGTAAATCCTAGTTTTGGTAGGTCAACTAAAGAGCATATTGAGTAGGAATATAAGATGCCAAGTGTATCCTAATAAGTCAACTTCAAAGAAATTAATTGATCTAAGCACTATTTATATTTTATACATTGATTATTTATAAATAAATTTATTTATATTTATAAATAAGTACTTCTAGATTTTTAAATATATATATATATATAGAAAGATTGTTTGTAACAAAGTAACTTTATAAATGAAATGAAATTGAACAAAGTCAACATTTATAGGCTTAAAAGAGAAGGAGAGATGTAGTTACTTCTAAAGCTTGTGATTAATTAGAATTAAGAAGACATTTACTTGGCTCTATATAAAAATTTAGGAAACTATGTTAAAATGTCCTTGAGATACATAAAATAATATAAAATAGAAAATTTCTTTGAAAGAATTATTTTTATTCAATAAAAAAATTATATTATTTATTTATAAAGAATTATATTATTAGTTTTTTTTTAAAAAAATAATCTAAATTTTTTAAAAGAACTTTTTTATTATGATGTTGATATTTTTGATTTCTTGATTTTATAATTATATCTAATTTTTTCTATTAAAAGATATTTTATTATAAATATATATTCTATTATAACAATTTTATTTATTTCAATGTTTGAAGCTAAAATTTTATATGAATGAATTAATGTCAAGGACAAGAACTTGATAAAAATAAATAAACAAGTGAGACTTTTCTCAAAGAAAGTTGACAAAATAGAAATAACTAAATATGTATATTAAGAAAAAAACTGGAATGACTATTGACAAAAGACAAGAAAACTAGACACCCTTGAAACTACACTAGAAGCAAGAAAAGAGTTGACAAGAGTGAAGAAGACTTCATTCTTGCTTCTATATATACTATCTACATAGGAGCTATGTGGCAACGTTTTATAGGACCTCCAAAAACATATAGACTTTGTATAACACGTATTTTAACTTGCAAGACAAGTTTTCTATATGGGCTCCATATAATTAGCTTATTCCACAAGCTATCAATATGTGTGGCATGTGGTTAACTTGTTGACCAAGTTTCTAACCTATCAATCAAATATAAACACATGTAAAGTCAAAGCAGCATCTATGAAGCTTCTATGAAGCTTGTCTAGAAGATATTATGAAATTAATCTACTTATATCTACTTCTACCTATTCATATCACCTAGATAATAATTATAGTAAATATATGTTCATAACATTATCCTCCCTTCTAGAAAAAAATTCCACAAGGAGCGGTGATCATATGTCGAGGAAGTCTAAGATGCAGCTAATTATATTTGCTACATACTTTGAGCTTTGTTCTCTTTGAAGATGATTGATAGGGCCTCTCAACTATCGATAGTGTCTCATACCAAGGTAGAAAGACCACCCAATTATTTGATCATTATTGAGGCCTTCATAATTTCCTTCAAATAAAACATGTAGAACATCGTCAGGAGTTGTTCCTATCTCTAGTAAAATCACCAAACATTGGGAGTCCCTTCCAAGGTTGTAATACCAAACGTGTTATATCTTACCATTTATTTGAGGAAAAACATGTCATTCTTGAGGATCTTCATCTCGATTGAGTCATCTTGAAGGTTGTGAAAATCATAATGTCTTATTTGATAGGTCAACAAACGAAGGCTCTTTAGTCAAATCCACTGGTTGTTGATTCTCCATCTCTCTACCGTCACAACTACAAAGAAGTTACAAACAAGGAATGAAAGTATAATGTTATCTTGCTTAGATCTTGTTTCTTTTATAGGGAAGGTTCTTGATTTTGATGGATGTCATCGATAAAAAGTCTCTATCACCTTTTTTGCATTTGCAAGATTTTTTACTGGATCTCATGTGCATTCACTAATATCATATCCATACCAATGGATAAGATATTCCAATTTATTTTGGCATCGCATTGAATTAAAACTTCTTCTACTTTAAACTTTTCATTATTGTCTACTTTTATAGGAGGAGGCGGAGCTTATCTTCTTTTTGATATGTCCACTATCTTATATGGTTTAAGAAGAGACATGTAGAATACTAGATGGATTTTTATTGACTTTAATAGGTATAAATGATATGCAATTGGATTGATTTGTGTAGAAATAGAAAATGGATCAAACCTTCACTAGTCCAACTGTCACA